TGCATTGTATATCTCGTTAGCAATATTAACAACTTTACTGTTTATTAAAAACAATAATATCATATTACTCCAACGATGCACTTAAGAAAATATAACATTTGTTAGTACGAGTATATTTCCAATATCTTGGCTATTTTGATAACTATTATACTGACAAGAACGATTTTAATGAAATTTCGATTAATCAGCGACTTCAATTAAGAAAAACAATACTGCTTAAAGTAAAAATTTTAATTGTAATCCATTGCTTTTATTTTATTTTTTAAAGATGTTAAGAATATGAAATTTCCAATATTTTGGTCATTTTGATAATAATGATTATACTAAGCTTTTGATAAATCCTTTGATAAGGATTTTGATAAAATTTCGATTAATTAACGATTTTATTGGAGGATTGCTTAAAGCAAAATTTTTAACTATATTTTAACTGTAATTCATTGCCTTTATTTTATTTTTTTAAATATTAAACAACCTGAAAATTAATAATTCTACGAGGATAAGTCAATAAGTTCTTAGAAAATCTGTCAGAGATCGCTCGCAGTGTTATGTCACATTACTTTTTGACAAGTAGCGTCTTTCAGCTGATTACTGTCAAATTTTGAGCGGAATTCATCGCGTGACTTCTGTAAATGATTAAAGCGAACAACTTAGCTTTATATTTTGTGCAAAATGGAAAAAAACGAGTTTCGTGCAGTGATCAAATCTACATATGAATCACATCTACATATGAAAGGTTTAACACCGAAAGAAATCACAGCCAAGTTGGATAATGTTCATAGCACATCTGCACCAGCGTTTGCACTGTATACAATTGGGTGAATGAATTTAAACGTGGTCGTACATCCACATATGATGTACCTCGTTCGGGACGTCCAATTAAAGCTGCTACGCCAGAAATTATCGATAAAGTCCACGATATTGTTTTGACTGATCGACGAGTGAAAGTGCACGAGCTTGTTGAGGCCACAGGCATATCACATGACACAGTGATTTCAATTTTGCACGAACAATTGGGTATGAAAAAGCTATCGGCAAGATGGGTACTGCGTTTGCTCATTGTGAACCATAAGCGCAACCTCGGTACCGATGGTCAAATTCAACGAATTCCGCTACGAATTGCTTCCCCATCCAACATATTCGCCAGATTTAGTCCCCTGCGACTATTTCCTGTTTCCAAATCTGAAGAAATGGTTCGGAGGAAAGAGATTCACCATCAGAGAGCAGCTTATCGCCGAAACAGAGGCTTATAATTATTTTAAAGGATTGGACAAATCATATTATTCGGACGGCTAAAAAAGTTGGAGAATCGTTGGATCAAGTGTGTCGAGCTGAAAGGAAACTATGTTGAGAAATAAAAATGAATCGATCAAAATAAAAATGTTTTACTATTTTTTTCTAAAAACTTATTGACTGTCCTCGTATTTATGTTAATAAAATAGTGTAAGTATTATTATATTTGACATTGTCGATCGAATTAATCGGAATTTGATAAAAATCAAATTAGTTCTAATGAAAAAAATTCTCTGTAATAATTCTGAGAGAGATACTTTTAAAAAGTTTTTATATTTTAAAGGATGAGTATCGATAATATATGATTTTGGTCCCCCTCAAATTTTAATACACCTCATCAAAATGTATCTCTCAAAATAGTTTACACTCATCTCAATTGTTTTGAACTGAAAGGGACATGATTTTATGGTGCCTGTGTTATATATACCGCAGAAATTCATATTTTCAATGTGATATTATCGAAGTACTTTGAAAAAACTAATTTTTGTTATGTTGCAGAATGTCTTCGGAATCACTTCAAAAAGGCATAATTCTCTCTGTATTTCTTTTCTGCATAACAAAAGATAAATTTAAAAAGAGACTAGAAGAAATAGAAGAAAAAGAAAAAAATTGATTTACCTAATGTCAACGCGAGTAGTGCGAAAAGAGAAAGAGCTGATGTCGCCGAGGAAATCATGCCGAATTAATCACGAAGGGCTGAGTGGTCCACAAATAAACCTGCAAGAGAGACCGTGAAGCACGTCATGCGGACGTGTGCAATCGTGTACTGAGAGGGATCCGTGACACGTGCGCGTAGATAAAGTCAGGTATCCCCTCTCCACAGAAAAGCAAATCGCTTTTAGAGCTTGTAAATCCGTTGACAATTATTGTGACACATTACGTATTGTTCAATCACTTGCCGAATCAGTAAATCGTATTTAATAAAATTTAATTAATATAAATTAACAATCCGTTTTCTTTTCCTCTCCTGCTATAAATTTTCCGATTACTTTGTTAATTTCTTGTTGTTGTTACATATTGCGTAAGAGAAAACAGTCATGTAATAATACACGCGCGCAAATATTATATGCGAAAGATTGTATTACGGTGGAGCATCTACGGAAGTAAGAATTATACATAGTTTCATAAATCATGATATTCTTGAATTCATAATTCCTTAGATCTCGGAATAGATATTTAACAATATATGATTGTTATTTGTCTGATGAAAATTTATATCATAATTTACATACACGAAATTCTCCCATCGTTTAAATATTATTTAATTGTGTTATAAATGTATTATAAAATAATTTATATTGTATATTTATAATTTTCATAATATCCATAATAACTATCTGAAACATTAAACTGTTAAATTTTATATTGTTACTCTCAATTAATTTCTCGATTACTTATTTGTTTATTTAATTGTTAACTTAAAGTTACGTAACTTTGTGTACTTTTATTCCAGTGCTTTTGATTCCAGAATCTTATAATATAGTTGGTGTCAAGAGCATTCCAAAGCACTATATATAATAAAATATTTTTTGGTTAATATATTTTGGTTATAAATCTTGAGTATGAAGCTTGAAAGTTACAGTACCGTCGGAATTATTAGCATTATTCAAGGTGTCCGCGAACAATGACTATAACCTTTTGAATATTGTTTGAAATCATAAGCTTGACAAATAGCTTGATATATGTCAAGGTCATGATCATTGGAGGTTATTCCTTTTTTTTTTTAATAAAAATAATTTTCAAAAATAAAAATAAGAGCAAAAATCTTTAATGGCCTTGATCTTGATATATGTTGTCAAGGTCATGATCCTGAACAATATTCAAAAGTTTTTAGCCATTGTTTGGACACCTTGAATAATGCTAATGCCGACGATACTGTAACTTTCAAGCTTCATATAATTCGAGATTTACTTAACAAAAAATATTTTATCTAAGTATTTTGGAAAGCTCTTGAGATAAGCTATAAAAATATGCAATAAAAAAATTCCATCAAAAAAATTTGAATCAAGAAAATTTGAACCTTTCCCTGACCTTGACAATGTTACCCATGGTCAAACCAATAATAGTACCATTTTATGTCCCCCTTAAAGTCAAACAACTCTTGTTTGTAACATTTTTTTGTATCTATCATAGTTTTCGAGAAATCTTAATGAATCATTTAAATGGGACATAAAACCTATGTATTCTTCATTGTTTAATTCTTAATTAATAGAAAATAATTTTTAAAACTTTTATATGTATAGTTTCTATTTTATTATATGTTATAGTTTTTATATTTTGTTATATGAAAAGTATATAGTTACAGCTTTTCAGAGCATAATGATTAATGCATTAGCAAAAAAAATTTTATTAGAAGGTAGTATTTATTAAATAAAAATTTTTCTGTAACATTTTTTGCTATTTTTAATTAGTTTAATTCATATTAACAATGTTAGAAAATATAACATATTATGTCCAAAATTTATATCAGATCATGACAAAAATAAGAATTGTCACAACCGTATCCTTATAATTACTTTTGCAATGCTTTTGCATTGCATATTTTTGCATAGTGCACACAAAATCTTGAATATTAATTTAAAACTCACACCATTTGCGCAATATTATAACACGTTAACAATAATAACAAGAAATAAACAAAACACAAAAAATTAAAAAAATTTAATGTTTTAGATAGTTATTATGGATATTGTGAAAATTATAAAAAGTAAAATATGTTGCATTTAAAATTTTGCTGAAGATCCGGTCATCTTAACGAATGATTTTACAATACAATGGTACTACGTTGAATGCGTGACAATATAATTGAATAGATTTACAACTATAAAACAGAGACACTTTTTCAAGAATGGAAATTTTATATACATGTAATGTATGTATTTATCGTACTTGTGTAATAATTTGACATTAGCCGATAAAACATTGCGAATTTCTTTGCGATAATTTATATATTCAACAAATCGATAATTTATATTTTTATCAAAGTTTCGATATGCATAATTGTTGAAACAAAAAAGAATATTAGAACGAAAACCCAAAATTAATAAAATGTTTTATTTCCATAATTACGATAGAAATTTTCATTTCCATGGTTCTTCTGAAGTTATCGTCTTTTTATGGTTTTACTGGTTTTTTTCTGCTTAATTATACATTACTTCAATTAACTCTTTCTTGCCATAAATAAATTATTAAGCAACTAAGCTTCGTTAAAGTTATACGAACTGAATTAATTAAAGGCACTAATACACTTAAACTGTTATCCTCGGAGCCGAGTCATCATTACGGTTTTTTCCATGCATTCTATTTATGAAAGTATGCAATGTTTCAATCTGCATTACATGTCTTTTAAGACTTAAGCACTATACTTGTAAATTGATCAATCACGATAATAACAATAATTAGAAGTCTTATGTAAGAATTCATTAATAATTATCATTTCGTGATTTATGGAACATTTTAATACCGGTCTACCAATTGCTATATTGGAACAACTTGTCTCTTTTCTTTCTCTTGTCTTTGTGCAAAATATTCAAATATTTAAATATCTTAAACACTCAATTAAAGTAGTAAATATAGATAGAGCTCCATTCTTTCAATATCGAAAAGATCCGCAATTAAGATTCGATTATCAAGTTTCACTACAAAACCGGAATCTCTTATAAATCTGAAAATTACTCTCCGATTGAATATCTTTTCTTGTTTACCATTAGTCTCGATCGTACGAGCGGTAATCGACGTCGGCTGGCCGCGGCGGCATCCGAATCTATTGTGAATAGATCATCGGTTGTCTTTCGATGAATTGCCAGGGCGACCGAGATGCTCGCTTGTCAGCACAGCGTCATTCTGTCTTGAAGTGTGAATTTCTGCTTGAAGTAGAGCTTACGCGAGCGAATAGCCACGGCGCTGAGACGTGGTCTAACCATCGGTCCCGAGGTACCCGAAATCGCTTCAACCGTGGATCACGCAGGTGAGACCGGCCAGGCGGCGGTCACGAAGCACCGGAAGTCTCGGCGCAAGAAATCGAAGAACACTGCCGCCGCGACCGCCGCCGTCGCCGCCGCCGGCGACTCCAAAGTGCGTTTTCCGCTTTGTAATGTGGGATTCCTCCTTTTGTGTTTTTTTTGTCATTTATAATTTTATTTGCAATTTGTCGTACTATATAATTGTACAATATTTTTTTTTTATTTCGATCTGGCTTCTCGAGAGCCCACAATTCCTCGATTGCTAACCGGAGAATCATTTACTAAATAGATCATTTATTAAATGATTAGACTTGAATCACAAAATCTATAATAACAATAAAATTCGAGGCTCTAAAAATTCCAAAATTAATCTTCCCAATTCTGACATCAAAATTTTTTCAAAGCCGTTTCTTTGAAAGCGGGCGTCATGCTATTTTCATCCACAGAAAATTAAATAAAAAAGTCGATTTATATTTCTTTTGAGGCGAAAGAAATGGCGAATACCTGTGCGGAATTCCGAAAGGAGATGCATAAGTCCTTCATCATGCCGGTGCAGACAACACCGTCGTATTCCGTAACAACGATACAGAATCATCAGACAAGCTCGACCACGGCCATGCGACCTCGATCTCTTTATACCGCGCACAATTATCATCCTCAGCCCGAGGATTTTAATTTTCAAGTACAACTAATCCTTGAATCTTATATCCTTCAGCTCTAATCAATCTTTATCTTTACTTTATACTTAACTCTTGTGGAAAAATACTATTGGGTTAGCCAAAATATATTATTGAAATAATATATTTTGGCTAACCCAATAATATTTTGAATAATATTATTGAAACGAATAGTGTACAATATTGGATTCTGGTGGATCACATGATTTTCATATTATCTTAAATAATTTTTTTGCGAGTTTAATAGTATTTTTTTTATAAAGGAGAACGCGGTGTGATTGTGATTTATACCGATACTTCCCATGAAAGTATAATCAATAAAGATATCAATAAAGATAGGATATCAAAATAATATATCGAGACAAAGTGATTTCAATAATTTAGACCGTATACTTTGAAAAAATAATTACAGATTAGTCAAAATAAAACTGATAAATATAAATATCACAAAAAAAGAAGTACTACAAAGTCTGATATCTTTTGTAAAAATCTGTCTTATATATTCCATGATTTCTTGTCGTTATACATTTCTTAAAATTCGACACATCAATAAAAATTCTACTATTACAACAGTTGCGTGCTAAGATAAGATAAGGCAGTAAAAAAAGATTCTTTACAAAACTTTTTGGATATTGAAAGCACATTTATTCAGACTATTACTCGCTAAATACAAAATAGTAGTAATATTACATGTTACATCATTCCTTGTGTTATTAATATAACACATGTACATAAACAGTTACTTTATTGAATAGAAAATTACATTTATATTGCTTAGTAGGAATGTTATAACATTGATATAATGTTACTGTTACTTTGTGTTTAGAATCTCAAAATATATTGTACAGAAAAATTGTTATCGTAACCTTGTGTCCTCAATGATTAAGCTTCTTCTGGATGATTTTCTAGCGATACAGCGAACTATCCAAGTACTTCGAACCCCCAGCCGAACAGTGGAACGGTTTGGGTGCAGGGACAACCGCATATTCGGGATCGGCGGCGATCTGGCGACAGGCTAGGAAGTCGATCGGCGGGCCTTATTATACAACCGAAGAAGCTTCCATCTATGCGGAAAACTGGCGAGAACACGACACTGATGTCGGCGTCGGCGGTGCTGTTGCCACACCTCATGGTACCATATCGTTGAGATTGCACAATAGAATACGTGTGGACATGACCATTGACCGTGCCGTCAGAGTCATCAACTTCAAAGTGAGTATTATAAAATATTTTTCTTATTTATATTCATATTATTTTATATTATACAATATAAAATAAAATATTTAAAAGGAGATATATAAAAGAAATTAAATATATATAAAAGGAGATATATAAAAGAAAGAAGATAAACATTTAAATAAAGTTATATTTTAAAAATTAGATACATTATTAATAAAAAAATTATTAATTTTAATTAATAAATATTAATAAAAAATTTAATTAAGAAAAAATTAATGTTGAAAAGATTTTTCTCTTATTGTTAATAATATAGAGTTGTAGTGTAAAATTTTGAATGTATGTGGAACAGAGGATGTAACAATTCAAACTAAATTCAAATTTACGTCTCATTTTTTATAAATAAAAATATATAAAAAATTAAAATATAAAATATTCAAAATATTTATATTATTGATAAGAAAGGATAACAAATTTTAATTAAGAAGGGATTAATATTAAAAAGATTTTTCTTTTATAATACGTAGCTATAAAATTAATATTATTTACAGAATATAAAATTTTGAGATTTATGACATCTTATCAAATCCAGATTAAATCCTGATCTGATTTTTTAGCCTTGTAGAAGAACGTTGTCTTTGATTGATTGTTCAATATGAATGTAATAGAATAGTTAAATAAAATTACATTAAAAAATTAGACACATTATTGATAAAAAAATAATAAATTTTAATTGAAGAAGAATTAATGTTAAAAGGATATTTCTTTGAATAATTACAGAACTATTATGTAAAATTCTGAGATTTATTTATATCGTAAAATAAAGCATTTAATCAAGTTCAGATTTATATCTTGTTCCTTGATTCTTATAGAACAATATCGTCCTGTCGCTGAGCGGTTCCGGCGCAGCTGCCGCGTTGTTGCATCCCAACGGTAGGATATATCAGTATGGTTCCCGAGTGGAGATCGTCGCCCATGATACGCACGGCAATAATAAGTTAGTCCAAATTTCATCGCTAATTAAATGATCGCTAATTAATCCCGATTGACTTGGTTTGACAGATATGCAAAGATGTGGTACAAAGGTGTCAGTTTCACGTCGGAGCAATGTGCGCTTGTCTATTTAGTGGACACGGCTGGGACCAGGACCACGACAGATTCTTTCTCGGACATGAGTCAGGTAGAACGAGCCAGATAGAGCAGAGATTTATTTTATGCTCGCGAACAAACCAGCTTAAAATATCGCTTCATTTCTGATGATTACGTGAGCATAATTATTTCGACTCTTAGATCTTTAGATTTAAATTCATTTTTTTTAGTTATTTTTTTTCCAATATTTCAAGTAATTTAATTTGTTGATATATTATTGATTTTATAGGCCTTGTTAAATGAAATCTATATTATATATTTCTTAAAAATTTCAAGTCGACAATTTCGTATTATTCTTTTCAATTAAAAATTATTTATTAATTATATATATTAAAAAAAGAATTATACATAGTATAAAGTCTCTTCTGACGTAATCTGCTTCTTACATGAATATTTAGGAAATTACTTCCAATTTTCATAAAGTAAACCATTGTACATAAACTATAAAATAATAAAATTTAAATCTTTCTTTTTATAAATGTCGCAACATATTAATTCATCGACTGTCGATTCATATCAGTGATGATACAAAATGATTGCGATGCAAATGTTTCAAATTATTATTTCGAACAATATAAATGCAATTAAAGATTTTGAAAAAAAATTGATGAAGGTCATAGTAAATCTATTACAAATCTTTACGAATAATATAGGATTTTTCGTTGAGTGTCTTCTATTCGGGCTCTCGTCATGGGCCAGCATGCCTGCAGGAAGCTGCAGCACATCTTAGTACAGCTCAATACTGGCAAACAGATGAAGGTGTTGAAAATTGGATTATTAACAACGTCCGAGTATCGCAGACTCCCGATGGCCTTGTTAGGTATCAATCAAAGTCTAACTAACGAATCTGAATAGGAAATTTTAAAACAAAATATCAGGAAGAAATATATTAATGAAATATTAATAAATGGAATTCAAGGTTACCCCTTTCCTCTCCTCCCTCGCGATTAAAAAGCTAAAAAAAAATTACAAATTTGATTAAAGCAACAAATTTAATTTAATGTTAAATTCCGTTATTGTATAATTCTGAACAAAAGAACTATATACTAGTTTTACATATCAAAAAATAGATCTTTTTTTTTTCATTTTTATCTTAAAAATTATCTATACATAAAAATTTGTAGACTACAAATTTACCGACATACATACAAACTTGAAAATCAATATAATTGAAACAAATTATCTTAAAACAGAGAAAAATACAAAATACATACGTACAACTGAATAAAATATTATTGTTTCTCTATATTGAGCAGATTGTGTCAAAGAGCTAATATAATTTGTAATCTTTGTTACATCTTAATACTTCCTTATTTATATTTTTAAATTATTTTTGATGTATTCTTAATTCTTTGTAATCTCTCTTTTTCAATTGTACAACAGGATTGCACGAAATAGCAATAAATATCAACTACGTACATCACCTAGCAATGGTACAGCCTCATTGACAACGCCTTTCCTGCACTGTACTGCATCCTTGGGACAAACGTCCCATCTGTTTGTACGTCGTGGCGAGCGTCGCATGCATTACGACGGTACCAGCTTTATTGTGAGAAATGCGGGTCACAGTGCCGGCTTCGATGACAACAACCAGTTGAAGGTCTACTAGGACAAAAGCTCTGCGAAATGTCTTCTCGCTTCAAATTCATTTACGAACGAGCATCGACAAATGTGACCGGCTTCAATTGTCAAACGGGTCCGAGTACGACCTGATGCGCTGTGACAATCCAATTTCGAATGTTCGACGAAAGTTTTAAATCTCTCACTTTCGTCGAGGTCTTAAACGAGATTAAACTAGACCATAATAACATCGAACACTTTAATTATGTCCACGCCTCTCTACGTTTACAGATTTACTCATATCTCATTTTACTAGAGTTTAGTAATTTAATTGAATTGTCTATCTGACACGCTGAATCCAGTTCAAAATGTTCAATAAATAATTCAATCGAGCATTTTTTATTATGCAAAATTAATATTTAATCATTATAATCGTCGTGACATATGTCTTTACAATAAAAAATGACGTCTCAAGAATATATAAAAAATATATGTATTTATTTTCTAGTACACACATTAACACATTCATGCTAACATTCATATCATATCTCTTTGACTATTTTCTTTGGTTATTATCTATGTCACATCTTGGAAAGAAAAATGTCATAATGTCATTATCGCAGTTTCATTAAGCCTATAATATCACAGTTCCACAATCAAAATTTCTCTCTTTATGATTTCATAGTATTCCACTCAACTAATCCATGGATTAAAGAAAAGCCTATAATTTTAAAACCTTTTTCACCTTATTTATATTTGAATCGATATTTGTCAATACTCAAACCAATTCTTAAATTATAATTTTCTACAGCTTTTACAGCAACACAAAGTATTCACATCTCTTCTAGCTCTGACTCTTCTTCAGACTGCAGTCCCTCTTCGAATGCTCGACCTACCTTAGATAGAACTTGGTTTTTGCGAACTCGGATGCTGCAGAAGAATTGTTATTGTAACTGATGATTAACTTTTTAATAGATGCTTAATTTAATTTACAATTGGAATCAATTAGAATGTAAATACAAGGTCCATCTTTAATAAAAATGTTGCACATCTTTTAAATAAACTAACAAAGAGAGTATTCACTTACAATTACATTATTTATTATTTGGAATCGTTAAGTATAAAACAAAATTATTCTTCTCAGTAATTCAGAAAAGAATTAAGAAAATCAGCAGTAAATTGACAATAGAGATAAGATATGATAACAGAAAAAGTAATTCTTGCATTGAACAAAAGTCATCATAGAACAAAAACAATTGAAATTACTTCAAAAATCATAATTTCTTAGGAAAGAGATTTTTTTCTTACAAGAACTTTTTCATTTTTTTCATAATTACAATTTGAAAAAAATTAAAGTTTTTGTAAACTCAAAAAATTTTTATTTTTTAATTTTTCTTTCATCATTATTCTATACTTTTGATCTCTTAACTTTTCATGTGGAATCATCGTTACCTTTGTGACCTCGTATCACTTATTGACATATATTCTGTAAATTAATAAATTACTTGCCGCTTTTGATCCTTCTGAACATTTTCGCTCAATGCCGATGACGTTGACGCTGTTGGCTTATTACTGTTAGTGTTCGCCACATCGGATTTGACAAATATTCTACTTTCCGACTGTATTGCACGTATGTTATTAACAATATTATCTGCCAAACTGGCATTGTAAAGTTGCAGGCTGTCTCCCTCTGCATCATACAAAATGCGCTTCTTTTCCTCGTAAATCTTGCTTAGCTTGCTGATGGTCGACAATAGCTTCTCTGGTGCAGCTAGTTCTTTGATTTCTGGCATTAAATTAACGTCCAACTTAGGTTGTTCATGCTTCTGATAGAAATGCCTCTCAATACCATACTGAACAAAAAAAAGCTCTTACATTAATAAGAAATAGTAAAATTTTACGAGTCGCTATTTTAATATTTAATTTATTGTTTAATTTGTGATAGCAAATTTTCCTAGCCAAAATTTTGAATCAAATAAAAGGATCATAATTTCTTAAATTTCATGTTATCAAATTATCTGCAATTTCTAGAAAATCTCTCTAGAAAGACTTTAATAAATTTTAATAAATAAGATTTATAAACTCGTTCATTAATGTAACATTTATTTAAAATTAAAATTTATGAGTATTTTTTATTCACACTCTTAACTAAATTTTTTCAAATTCTGTTTTAATTTCTAATAAAATTTCTATAAATGCCATGAAATTATCATTATCTTTTTCCTCTCTCATCCCTTCTAACTTAGAAGTTTTTAGCTATATCTATAGTATCTATAATTCAGAAAAGATCTTTTCAATTTATAGACTAATAAGATATACCTCTCGATCACTAATGCAATGAATAAATATGCGATCAACAATCATTTTGCATAAAATATAGTTAGCATCAAGATATTCCTCCTCTTTTATTTGACTGTGCAACTCCATCAAGCATTTCCAATCTAACAGAGTCATTCTGATCTTCAGCTCTTTTATTGGCATTTTATAGTAAACTCCATATGTAAGATATAGAGCCCCTATACGTTCCTTTAAACTGGATGCATTCACCAGAAACTGCTTTGTTATACAAAGAGCCTCTTCGCAAAATACCATTAAAGTTATTTCGGACAAATGATACCTGCAAGTTTTTAATCTTAATTGACTGAGATTTTCTGAAAAACTTAAGGTTTTGGAAAAAAAAACAATATTAGAGAGTAAAATGCTTTTTTTTAAATGAAAGAACAAAATACGTACGCAAAAACCAAACCAAACTGCATTTCTTTCCAGATTTCACAGAAATTTTGGAAATGAGTATTATATGACAACTCGAAACGTGTTATCAGTGTCTGGCAATCAGTGCGAAAAGCCTCCATCAAACGTTTTTCTATCAACAGAAGACAACCATTAAAAATTTTAATATAATTACTACTAACAAATGATATATAATATGATATATATATAATACAGTCAAAGGTAAATATATCATATAATTTATTATACTTTATATACAATTTAACACTACTTATTACTTACGTTGTGAATCGTGATACTGCATGATTCTATACGTTCTGTTAAATATAAAAGTTCTCTTTTTTTTTCAAGGTACTAGGCTTCTTGCAAAAATCAAATCGGAAGATTCAATTAAAATCTTATCGGCAAAAGGCAGAAAGAAGGGACAATAGGTTAAATTGCTTGACAAGAATATTTATGGATTTTTTAGAATATCGCGAGATACTTTTCGCTCGTGCGACTCAGATTGCCACTTAATACTCAAAGCTTATATCGCTTACATGTAATTGATTCTTTTTTATTGTTTTTGATATCTAGCGGTTTGTAACAGCAGACACTGGGTGCTTTCCATCTAGTGACACAAGCCGAGACAAGTATCGTTTTGTCTTTGTTACTCACTAAATGCTGAGAAGGCTAGAATGACGTTTGTGTCACTTAATGGAAAGCACCCAGTGCTATGCCGCATCAGAGAGAAGCATTCTCTCTGGCCGCATATTCCAAATTGGAAAACATATATGTTTGAAAAGGAAGACTTTTTTCATATTTCTCTCTTGTGCACTCATTTCACTACGATTTTATCGACAATGTTGCAAAATGATTGTGGTATGTATGTATGTCGTGGTCATTTAAGTTGCGACACATTTTTTCTGATGGATTTTGGAACGCCCAAATATTACATGGATGTGAATCAAGCCCGTATCAGACTAAAGGTGCCTTTTCATACGCAGCACGCAGCAGCAAAATGTCACGTGATTCAAATTTTTCAGAATCGTTTCCACCGCATTTGTTGCGCATGAAAAGAAATTTTGCAGCAATTCGTATTGAAGTTTAACCTTAATTTATAATATAATATAAATAGCAATATATCTGTTGAGTATATCTATTGTATAATTGCATTTTAACAAATCTTATTATATTGACAATTAAATAACCCTGTTCTAGCTCATAGCGCATTATTTTATTTATTAATAATCAATAATTTTTTAAATTACAATATAAGACTACTTTATAATAACCAAGTTTAAAATAACCAAGTTTAAAAAGTTATAATTGCGGTTTATCATTTACGTTTTCAATGTCGATAGATTGAAGAAGATCTCAATCGCACGTATACATATATTAGACCTATTAGAACTTATTAAAAATAAATTAATCATAAACAAGTTTCCGTATTTCTTCCGCAATTTTTCATTATATTTTCTGTTGTATCACATCACGAGTTATATTTTCTGTTATTATATATATCACAAGTTTATAACACATGGCTTGCACACGGCTGACACGGCTTTTTCGGCTTTGCTGCTCGTTCACTTTTGCTGTTCGTTTGGTTGAACTTCAATAAGATGCGGCAAAATATATTTTGCATCGAAAGTGCGTTATCTAAGCAACATTTTTAACCAATAGTAATGAATTGCTGCGACTGCTACACTGCGCATGAAATGGCACCTTCAAAATAATGCTCTTGGTTTGCTCCATTCGAATAAATCAATTTCATAAAATGCACCTTTGCATTTTTGTTTAAATAGAAAAAAAACGTTTTTGTCCAAAATCTAGGGGCTTTTATTAAGCGCGCATGCGCATCGGTATTGAATGTATAATCCAAGATTGCTCTCTTTTACAGTGAAAAAGTGTCACTGTTTATTTAATAAATAGAAAAATAGATTAAAAACGGT